TAGTTATTTGTGACTGCCAGCCATGCCACTCACCAATGATGGTTACTTGCGACACGTTCCCCCCATCCCTTCTTCAACATGCAGTATTCCTGTTTCTTTATCACCCTTTCACCTCCTGGAATGGAAGTGGGCAACTCCCTAAGAGTATCGCCATGTTAAAGTGCTTCCCTGGAGGGATACTGACATCAATAATGGGCACTACTCCTGGAAGGGAACCGGTCTCCAGTGCAATCCTCTACAGGGAAATCTTCTTAGTGAAAATGTTTTGGAGTGTCCCACCCCACCAAGAATATCAGATTTCCTTGAGGCAAGAATAGAATGGTGATTAGCAGGAGAACTGGATTTCTTACCTCATCACAAGCCAAGTGAATTCTGAACTAGGTTCAGAGACAAAGAACCATGAGTTAGACAGTTACAGGGTAAAATGAACTTTAAAGGACCAATTAAAAGATGATACAGAATCAATGATTACTTCACCTCCCCAGCCCCGGTCCCCCTCCCCCCTCCAACTGTCACTCTTCTCTCCTTCCATTTACCTTACCTTGTATCATACTAATTTTGTACATGTTATTGCATACATGCCCCAGGAGATTATAATAAGCTCCCTGAAGCAAGGAACATTTCAATATTGGCCTTGTATGCCTAACCTCTAGAACAGAGTAGTAGACACTTAATAAATGAGTGGTAAATGATTTGGTCATATAACTGACAGATGACGAGAGAATATGAGATTCCATTTTCTGATTTTAAAAAAGAGCATTTGACTCAGCAGCACAAAGTATAGCTTTAAGGGGTCTATTAAAGCAAGATGGCTTCCACTTACAAAATATGGTACAAAACAGATGCCACTATGTTGATAACTTTGTTCAATAATCTGCTGAGTATTGACAAAGCAAGTTGTAAACAGACCTGCTCACCTAATGTGTTCCTTAGGGTCACCTACAACATTTTTCAAAAAAGGCATGTGTCAGGGACAATAGAAACCACAATCATTCCATGCCTTCTTGACTAACAATGTAGAAATCCCATGACAACATGGTGGTCTAACAGTGGAAAGTAAAGGGAAATAAAACACATCAAACTATGTAAAACAGATGGTCTCATTCACTGTTGTGACAACTACTTGTCCTCAAATAAGATACACCTGAAGTAGTCTAAATGACTACCTCAACCCTGCAGTTTTGTCTAAAACACCCTCTTTTTCACATTTCCTCTTGTCTCCTGCCCTTGAGCAGGAAATGTCTTCTCATTCTGTTAACAAACCTTGCCAGCTGAATGGCAAACATTCCCCTAGTGTCTCCCTTTTCTCTATTGAATGATTCTCCTTTTTCTACCACTCTCTCTTCTGTGAAAGGTGTAACTTATCTAGCCTAAATTACCTAAGAATGTTGCTGATTGGCTGTGTATTCTAAGTAGGCCTGAAAAATCATAAAAATGAAATCCGAAGCTGCAATCAGCAGTTTCTTTAGCATGCTAAGAAATATTTTTGCTTTCTGACTGGCCTCCTATCTTTGACCTGAATCAACAGAGCCCAGCCAACCAGGGTGCCTCTTCAAATAGGTCTCATTTTTTCAAGGTTCTCTAAATAGCGCTATTTGCAGGTCACACCACACTAATTTCATCAAAACCCTAGAACACTAAGCTTCTTCCTGAAAGACTGATTTAACCATCCACATGGGGAAAACAAAACAAAAACCCATGTGCTATCCAAATTAAAACATGCAGCTGCACATTTCATTGGGGTGTGCACTCAAGAAACTTTTTTAAACAAACACTTATTGAATATTCAATCATAATAGGCATTATTCATCAAACAAACAAAAAAATCCCCTGAAAGGAACAATTAAACTTTGCAGAGGACTCCTTTTCAAACCTGACTTTATCCTTGGATTCAACCTCACCATCATAATCCTCTCCCCATTCCCAGCTCATCACCAGGTAACTCATCTTCATAGATATCAGCATTGTTACTTACACCTCTAAGTACCCTCGGCTGCCCCTCTGATTGCAGGGTGGAGCAAAACCAACAAAGCCTCCATTGAAAGAGGGCACATAGGTCCAGCCAACTCTTCCTTTCCCACAAACTGTAATCCTTGGATCCAAATCCACCATCAACATGCCCCTGCAGCAGGGACCTTTCCCCTCTTCCCACCACCCTGGTACAGCTTCCTTTTACGTGATGTCTTCCCTCACTGGGTTGTAAGCTCCTTGGGGGCAGGGACTATCTTTATTTGTATCACCACTGCCGAGCACAGGGTCTAACATATATTAGGTATTTAATAAACATTTATTGTTTTGTATCTTCTTGGCTAAAAAAGTATCCCTCTAGTCTTGTCACTTGCCACAAAAAGGCATGTGACAAGCGTATAAAGACTGGTAACTAGAGGAGCCATCTTTTAAAAAGGGAGCTTTTAAACTCTTTTTCCTTCCTTGCCCCCAATAATGAGAAAGAGCCCGAGAAGACCAAGTGGCCAGAGCAGTCAAAAGGGGGAAGAAATGCCTGCTTAGCTGGTGTTTCCCTGAAGCAGCTGCAGCCAGCTGAAGGCCTGTGCACTGACCCTAGGCTCTACAAAGCAGAAGCACTACTGCAACACACAAGGCATCTCTGAAGATCCTTTGCAATCACAGAGGGACTTTAGCCCATGGGGTGAGTGAGTCACCTGAGGCCCCTCCTTCCCCTATTAGAACTCTTTGGAAGTGGGTAGGGCTTGGAATGGGAAGAGGTCTGCAAGGGCTTGGGAGTGACCAGGTTCTCCTCCCAGGGTTCCCATTAGACAGGGAAATGGCTTGACAGGTCCAAGTTCTGAGTTGCACTCATATTCTTTTGTCACTCCTTTTCTTGCCAGTTAAACTCAGCTTTGAAGTTAAAATCTGAAGGAGATGATCTGCTGGGGCCTCTACTCCCTCTTCTCAGATCGTGGCAGTCTGGCTTCCCCCTCATCCCTCAACTGAAAGTGCTCTCACCAGCGTTAGCCATGATCTCGCAAGTGCCAGATTCAACGGGGTTTTCTCCCTTCTCATCCTCCTTCAGCTCTTTGCAGCCTTTGACCGTCCTCTCATTTTCTGTGACACAGGCGGCTGCTCCTCCAGCCTCTCTGGCTGGATCTAATCCACGGCACTCTGGGTGTGGCTGTTCTGTACTGGGCCCTCTTCTCTTGTCTCTATACTCTCATTTGGTGAGATCATAAGCTCTATATAGATCATTCCCATACTTATCCAGGCCTAGTTCTCTCCCCAGTTCTGCTCCAGCTTTCACAATGCCTCCAGGACATTTCAAACCGCCTGTCCTACAGGCCCCTCAAATTCAACATGTCCAAAACACAGCCCATGACCTTTCCCCCTCAAACTCTTCCCCTTATCCGTAATTACTCTGTTACAGTCCAGGGCACCACCATCCTCCCAATCTTCCAATACCTTGGTGTTATCTCAACTCCTCTCTCGTGTTCACCCTATATATCTAATCATTTGCCAAATCTTTTAATTTCTCTCTACAAAAAGTGTAGGTCTGACTATGTAACCCCTCACTAAGAAACCATAGTGGCTCCCTATTGCCTCCAGGATCATGAACAAAGTCCTTTGTTTGGCATTTAAAGTTCTTCATAGACTGGCCCCTTCTCAACCTTCACAACTTTCTTCTATTCTACTCCCCAACACAATTTAGAAAGCATTTATTAAGCGCCCATTTTTCCATTTCTACTTTTGCTCCACCCCTCCTAAATTCCATTCTTACCCCAACCTCTAATTGGGGTATAACACCTGCTGCGGCCTGAGAACCCTACATTTAAATCGATCCAACTTAATTCGATACTGTACGCTGCCTTGTGTTGCTTGCCCTCTTGTCCGCTGACACTCACTCATCTCCAAAGGCCAGCTGGGTTACTTACATCATTCTCCGGGTTTGCTCCTGTGCATGTGCTGTTGAACCCTCTGGAGAAAGCACACATTTCTCCCTCTCATGTATTCCTTGGCCTCGACAAACTGGCCTGCTCGCTGTTCCTCAACACTCTATCTCCTGCCTCTCTGGGCTTGTGCACAAGCTGTTTCCCCTGTCCAGAACATACTACCTCCTCATTCCCATCTTTTACAATTTCTTATTTCATTCAATCAAAACTCATTCTCACTGCCACCTCCTACAGGAAGCCTATCTAGACTGCCAGAGTTGCTAGTGTTTCTCCCCCTTAAATCACTGCATGCATGTTGATTCTATTAAACAGAAAACAAGTTCTTCCTCTGAAAGCAGGAACTTTCATTTTTTGCCTTATGGTGCCCACCTAGCACATAATAAATGCTGTTTAATGCTGAATGGCTCAATGGAGAGAGTGCCATGCCTGGAGTCAGGAAGATTTGAGTTCAAATCTAGCCTCAGCTACTAACTGCGAGACCCAGGGCAAGTCACTTTACCTGTTTGCCATAATCCACTGGAGAGGAAAATGGTTAGTATCTTTGCCACTCCAGTATCTTTTCAAGAAAATTCCATGGACAGTATTTGCATGCTATGGTCCACGACTGAACAGCAACAAAGCTGAATGGCTGTTTTCTCCCATTAGAGTTCCTAAGAGCACAGACCGTATTGTTCATTCCTTCTCTCTCTCCCCTGTTTTGAGCACAGACCATCATCATTTCATGGGATTCAAGTTAATTTAGTAGAACATTGGATGCCTACTATGTGTCAGGCACTGGAGATACCAAGACCAAAAAAACCAAACCAAACCAAACTTCTAAACCTCAACAATTACAGTATCTGTCTTCGGGAGCCTCTATTTTATTAGGTCATAAAATCATAAGATTCAGAACTGGAAGGTGAGGGCCTTAGAAGTCATCAGGTCAACTCCCCCACTTTACATAAGAGGAAATCGAGGCCCAGAAGCAGTTGGCCCAAATTTACACAGGCACAGAGTGGCATTAAGTGCATAATAAATGCTTCTGGTTCACTGCGGGATCAGTTAGTCAACAAGTATTTACGAAGCATTTAAACCACAGTCATGGGACCACGTACACACCGAGAACTGGAAGGGGGCACTGGACGCCATCGAATCCAACCCCATCCTCTTACAGAGACCCAGGAAGGGTGGGGGAGCCAGTGACTAGCAGGGATGGGGCTCGAACCCTGGTCCTCGAAATCCTTCTCTTTCCTTCTTCCCAGGCTACTTCTCTCTCCGAGGCCCCAATTTTCCTTCTTTGACTCCCCCTTTTCTAAGGTTCAGCTAGAACACACAAAGACCGCTGTGCATGGACTCCCACCCCTCTTTTTTTCCAAGTTCTGGGACACAGGAGAAGGTCGGAAGTCATCCAGCTGTGTGGGAGGTGCTGGGAGGAAGCTGGGGGTCGCGGGGTGACGCTCAGGCGAACAGCTGGCACACGGGAGGGGAAAGGGCAGTGAGCGCGCACGCGCAGAACCTCCACGTTCGCAACGGCCTCCAGACAGCCCCTCCCCCCCACCAGTCCTCCTCCTCTTCCCTTGGTCCGTTATTAGAATAATGCCCACGCTCGACCGCTTCTCCTCCTACCTGCACTAGGCCGCTGTCGGAGCAGCAGCGGCCCTCCGGAGCTCGGCAAGTGGCCATGGCTCGGCTCAGCTCAGCCACACCGCACGACCTCCTACAGGAACCTTTCCTGACAGATCAGGCAGAGCGGCGGTCAGCTTGGGGGGCGGGGTCTGGGGGGGCGGGACTCCGCGGTGAGCGGGCCAATCCGGCGTGAGCTCAGTCGGCGAGGCGGACAGCTCTGAGGACCCTGGAGGACTCCCGCCCGCCCACCCGCAAAGATGGCGGCCTCCTTGCGGCTCGGCTGCGGCCGCCGGGCGCTGCGCTACCTCCTGGGCTCGGCGAGTGGCGGGTGGGCGGAGGCCGGCGTGACCTCGCTTGGCCGCGGCGTGGGCTGCCGGGGGCTCCATGGCACGGCGTGGCTGTGGGGTGAGTGCTGAGGAGAACAGGATGGATCAGCCCGGTCTCGGCGCAGGGCCCCGGGGGGGAGGCGGAGCGGGCCGGGCCGGGCCGGACCGGTTGAGGCCACCCGGATCTGGGGGCGAGGGCCGGCCTCCTCTCCCCATCCTGAGGGCGAAGCTGACCCGAGAACCGCAGCCTGGGCGGCGTGGAGCCGGAGGCGACCATAGAGGTCACCGAGGCCAGGCCCCGCACCCCCTGCTCCCAATCGCTGCTATTAACGACCTTCCTGCTGTTTCACCGGAAGGGGTCCGGAAATCCTGAGTTTAAATGTTACCTCCCCCCTTTGTCTAAGCGTGTGACCCCTGGCAAGTTACGCAGTCTGTGCGCCCCGGTTTCCTTGTCTGTAGAATGGGTCAGTATGGATGCTCATCAATAGTAGGGTTGTTGTGAAGGTCAAATGAGATTACATTTGTAAAGTGCTTTGCAAATCTTAAAGCATTATATAAATCCATTGGCCTGCTACGTGCCAGGCACTCTGCTAAGCGCTGGGGATGCAAATTATAAAAAGAAAGACAGTCCCTGCTCTCAAGGAACTTGAAGTCCAAAGGGTAGTTACTGCTACTACCACCAGCAGCAGGACCACCATCACCACCACCACCATCATCATCCACTCCTATTTAAGAAAAAAACAGAAAACCTACTGCTGTTATTAACGCTATTACTGTCGTTCCCTGATGCCCCAGTTTCAGAAGGAAAAAAGAAAAACAGTCCTTATTTTAAAAATGTATGCAGTCAAGCAAATCATTCCACTTTGGCTTTGTATAAAAAATGTTTATCTCGCTCTGTTCATCAGGAAGTGAGCAGCACGCTTCCTAGGTCCTCTAGAATCAATGCCGTTGTCCAGGACACCAGTTATGAAATTTGCACTGTGTGCCAGGGTGCCTGGTAGATATTTTATATGTAATTGGGGCACAAACGTAAGCAAAGAAGAAGGACATCAAGGGGAGATGGGAAGGATCGGGGTGGAGAGAGAAGTGGCTGGCCTGGGTACTTCCTCGAAATGGAGGTTCTGGGAAGAACTCGCCAATGTGGGGAGAGGGAGCTGAAAGACAGGGGGGTCTTCCAGGGTGAGAAGGTGCCTAAGGCTTGGATCAGGGAGGGGCAGAGAAAAGGGAAAGATGGTTGGCCTGGGCATTTCCTCAAAATGGTGTGATGGCTTACCTAGAGAGAGGGTCAAAACTGGTTGCTAGAAGTCCTTTTCTCACTTTCATGGGATGCTTAAGAAGTTCTTATGAATGGTGTAGCTTTTTTGCTGGGTGTCTTGTGGAACCATGAATCTACATCCTATTTGTCCTTGGCTCCTGATGTAGACATTGCCACAGAACGATGAGGGGTTGGGGTGGGGAGGGAAGATGTTAAGACACTAATGGATAGTGGAAGAACAGTTCTGCAAATTGTTATGATTCTGCTCGATTCAGCCAGCATCAGTCCGGTCCAGTCAGTTCACACACACACACACACACACACACACACACACACACACACACTCACTCACTCACTCACTCACTCACTCATCACTCACTCACTTTGTATATCTTGTGCCCCAGAACTTTTACTATTATGGGGCAATCAGGGTTCAGTGACTTGCCCAGAGTTAAACAGCTACTAAGTGTCAAGTGTCTCAGCCTAGATTTGAACTCAGGTCCACCTGACTCCAGGGCTGGTGCTCTATCCTCTGTGCCACCCAGCTACCCCTCTTTAGCATTTTAAGCCTCACAAAGCATGGTCTTCTCAGCAGCTAGTTGGAGGCTGCTGGGGCAATGGACAGAGCAGGCTTTGGAGACTGACAGATCTGAGCATTTGGTGCATACTGGCTATCATTTAAGCTTTGTTAGGGCCCCACGTAACTCTTGACTATAACTTTCAGAGCAGGTGCTGATCTGCATTTGGTAGAGGAGGTTCACTTGTAGGGAGTCCCTACACCAATAAAATCCTAGATCCAGACCACATTTCTTCTTTACTTGTCTTTTTGCGTGTTGTTTTCCTGTAGGTTGTGTAAGCTCCTTGCGGGGGGGGGGCACAGCTCTTGTTACCCATCTTTGTGGCTCTAGTACAAAACCCAGGCCTTGGCATCCTGTAGGCTTTTAATAAATGCTTGTTGAATTGAACAACCCTGTGGGTAGGTAGGGTAATATTCTTTCCATTTTACTGATGAGTAAACTGAAGCACAGAAAGGAACTTGAGGTTATATAGTTAATAGGTGTCAGAGTCAAGATTCAGACGTTGGCCTCCTGAGTGCCAGGCCAGCAGTCTTAAAATGAAGATGTAATAGAAACTTAACTTTGAAGTTAATACCTTTGGGGTTATGGTAACGTCTTTGAGACTTATGTGGGCCTTTATATTTCATTTTATGAGTATAGGAAGAAGGGAGCCAGAAGTTAATGGATAATTGTTATTATTTTAAATGTAACCTGCTCCTTTTACCTTGGTGTTTTGAAACAGGGTGATTGGGAAATGTAACCCATTAGTCAGGTAAGGATAGACACAGTGGCTGTATTCATGGATCTGTTGGTCACTCTTAAGTTTCTCAGTCTTCATCTTCTTTCTCCATGGCCTGTTTAAGAAGGGACCCAGTTTAGTCAACCTGCATCATTTGTTTTAGAAAAAATTAAACACTGGTGTTGGTGGACAGAGCTAATAGGATGGATTCTGGCGTTTCTTTCTCTGTAAGCTCCCAGAGTGGCTGTCCTTGAACTTAGGATTCAGTAAAAGACACATATGCCTCAGATGTGCTCTTTGTTTGACCGATAAAGGGGGTGTTTTTATTCTTCTAAGATGTTCTCAAACTACCCCACATGATTAAGGATAAGAATCAGGCTTGTGATTTCATTGCTATAGGAACATGAAGAGCCTTTTCCCCAGTGTGGGTCAGCACTTTGGCTACTTGAGTGCAGTTCGTATGCATGGTTATTAACTTCCTGAACAATTTTGGGAGGGGATATTCTTATATATTGCAGTCAAATCTGTGGGAGCATTCCTGCTTCTCACGAGAACAAAATGCTAACCAGAAATTGTGCCACCATCATCCTAGAACCCCTTAAGGCCGAAAGAACTCCTTAGACTACACTTTAATTGTGTGCATCCACTTTTTTGATGGAAGGAGGTTGCTTTCGTGCTTGTGTGAGCCTTGCAAACTCTAAGTAGAATTCATTGCTGGGAAGTCTCACCCCACTCAGATTTGAATTCCTTGGGCTCCAATATTAATACATGTACACACATACAATTTTGATTAATAGATACATGCATGTATAAATTATAATACATAGACACATGCACCATTTTAGCCAGGTCAACCAGAGAAATTTAATATTGGATTATGTAGCCATCTCAGCCTTCATTTCCTCTGTTTAATCATAAATTTGGAGCTGGAAGGGGTCTTAGAAGTCAGAGTCAAAGTCCCCCTCCCATGCCTTCCCTCCGGCTTTCCGGGTGAGGCAGCTGCCTGAATTGGGCCCATGTGCACAGCTGAGTCTGAGGCATGATTAAGGCCTGGTCATCCTGACTCCAGGTCTAGTGATCTACCCGTGCCACACGGCCTCACCTGGAAGACTAAGGAGAGAAAAGCATGTTCTTGTTTACTCAGAGCCTGCCTAATTGCTAGTTTCTACATTTCAGAAGAATCTACTGTAGATCCAAGATTAGTATCAGAAGATAGATGTCTTTGTGGATTGGGGCCTGGAAGACCTTGCTTTAAAGACTTCCTGATGGAGCTTGAGACTATGTGTGCCCCAGGCTGCTCCTGTGATTATCTGCCAAGGACTGGGACTCTGGGGACCCCAAGCGGTAGTACAGGCAGCTTGGTGTCAGGGCCCATGAGGAAGCCTGGACTTTGAATCCTGGGCCAGCCCCTGACCCTTTTTCAGCCTTAGTTTCCTCATCTGTAGAAGGGTCATTAATAATAGTGCCTACTTCACAGGGTTGGGAGGATTAAATCGAAGAATACATGTAAAACGCCTTACACACATTAAAGCACTGTATATTTAGTATGTTTAGTACATTTAGCTAGTATGCTGAAGAAAGCCCAGATTTTTCTCATCAACTAATATTTACTAACAAAAGACTAATCTCAAGGCAGCTTTGGGGACACAAAATAGCAATGACACCCCCTACCGCCCCCGATGTTTAAGGAAATCACCATCTCCTTCCACCCCACCCGTCCTTCTCCCCTCCCTTCTTACCATCTTCCCTTTCTTCAATTCCCTTCTCCTTCAGTGGTGTAGACTGGGAGGGGCTCTGGGGGTCAGAAATAGATGCTCCAGTCCAGCTCTGGACACTTGTTGGCAGGATGGCCAGGTCACTTCTCTTTGCTTCAGTTTCTCATCTCTAAAATGGGTTGATTGGACTGAGGTTTCCAGGTTTTCTTTTGGCTCAAACATACTATAGTTCTGTAAGATTGATGTGGAATTATTAATAACAACTGTTTTAGTCCCACTCAAGAAACATAGATGATAGATAGCCATCCTTGATTTGATATCTTAAGAATAAGTCTTTTCTAGTAATACTTTAAGTTAAGCTATCAGTGGATTCTTATTTGGTACATGAAAATCCTGAGTACTACTTTAAAACAGTTCTTTGAACTGAGAAGACTTACATTAAAACAAACAAACAATTGTTTTCTCTAGAGGTTAACCGTTTGCCTTATTTACTTTCCTCAAGAGCTCACTTTTTTGAGTATTAGGGGTCTTTGCTCTTAAAGCATTGACTTAAAAATTTCCATTTACTTCTGCTTTTTTTCAGCTAACCTGCAGATGGCAGAAGGGGTTTATTTTTATTGTTATTTTAACAATTCAGTTTTATTTAATGTGTTCTTGTGTTGAAGGTAGGTGATTAAGTGAGCTACATTCTCCCATAATCATTGTAGAAGATGCAAGTTAATGGTGAGATGGGAGCTAAGCTGAAAAAGCTTTGGTGATTTACTTTTGGATTGGTCTGTCTTCATTTCATGGTTCTTGTGTTCTTGGATTACAGTCGAGAAACTGAGACTTAAGCATGAAACACAAGCAGTACCATATGTCAGCTGCTGAATTTCCTTAATTATATTTGTCAGAGTAATGAAGCTTAGATCTGCTTCACATTAACTGCAAAGTTGTTTGTTTTGCATTTATATTTTAACAGGATGTTAATATAGGAATCTTTTTTGGTCTTGAAACCCTTCGGTGTCATTGTGACTAAGCACAAGCCTTAGAGATTAGATATAGCCCTTAGGCCTGGAGTGTTAATTGTCTGGAGGACAGAAATCTGTTCTAGGGGAAATGAAGTTTGGGTGTTCTATTTGAAACTGACTGGAAACTCTCACTTTGGAAATTCACAGATAGCTTTTGGAAAGAATGCAGGAGTATCCCCAAAGCTGTAAAGCTCCATGGCCATTCAGCCTCTTGACTTACAGCCTGTACTTGTAGCATTGTGGCAGATGAAACAACAGCACAGACTCAGCAAAGAGACTTCATCTGTTAAACCTGTCCTACACGGCCTTCAGTTGAATAACACAGTTGAATAGCACTGTTTGGGTAGCTCCTCTGGCTTTCATGTCTTCGCTGTTGAACCTTATTAGTGATGGCAGTGGTTTTCTTTATGCATAAGCTACCGCACACCAAAATTAGGTAGGTTATATACAACTTTAAAGAATATTTTTGAGCATCTTCTTTTGGCTGTCTTGAAGTCCAGTTCCATCTCTCTTGCTAGCTGTGTGTAAAAGGAGCCAGACACTTAGAATGATGATGAAATCCTTATGTTCTGCTCTAGCCCCAACTTTGTATGGATTATAATTGAATGGGAGGGAGAAACCACATCTCCCCCTATGCCCCCTAAGTTTGAACAAAAACAATTAGTGGAAGATGTAATTGGTGCCACATTTAGCAGTGACAGTTAAGCAGGAGGGAGCTTAAAAAGCACTGCTTAATGGCGTGGAGAAAGGGGACCAAATTTTATTTTGAATAGTGAAACCAAATAATGTTGAGTATGATTTAAACTCTAGGGAAGCCTGAAAAGTTCATCTCCTCTGAATATGGTTTACTTGTACTGCTAAGGGAGAGAAATTAATAGTATATGTTGCGCTTTGACAATGCTAGTACCAAGATTACATAATTTTCATATTAGAAAAATACATTTTGGCAAAAGAATTTTGTATAATCAGCCAATTGAAAAAAAAAGTTCATATGAGAGGCCTGCTGTAGTTAACAGATTACTTTTTACCTGGCATTATAATTCTGAGATGCAGTTCTTAAGAGGTATTAGGCAGATGTGTTTTCTCTAGGCAATTTTACTAACTATAAAAAAACTCATGTAATTTATCAAAAGGCAATCTTTCCATTTCCTCTCTTTGAATTCTGACACTCTTCAGTTTTAAAAGGAGGACAATGATGATCTATTATGGGATTTAAAATTTTCATTGCTGGTGAATTCAGAGAAGCAATTTCAGTTCATCCATGAAGGATGGCCACATGAGGAATGGTTATGCTCTTTTTTATTAAATAAAAATGAAAATTATTTGGGACTGACGAATGGTTAAATTGAAAACCCATATACTCAACAGTAGTAAATTAAAAGTCTCAATATAGTTCTCAATGTCAGCAGTAATGGAAGTAGGAAAGGCTTAGGGAGACTTACAGAGACAGAAACATTTAAGTATAAGTTATAGCAGGTAAAACAAAATTATGAAAATATTTGAGAGACTTAGGTGTTGAGGTGTTGAGGGCATCAGCTTTGAACATATTTGGCATAAACTAGAAGGCAGATGTAAAAACCACAGCCTTAATTGAAAAAAAATCTACCAGTTTTGAAATCTTATGACCTGGATTCTAATTCTGACTCTGCCCTTCTTCAGATGGGGGGGCTTGGTCTAGGCCTGTGCCTCTCTTTAGTCTCCTTTTAAAGGGCCGTCATCCTTGACTCACTCCCTGTGCCTGTGTACTGCAGGGTCCCAACTTCTTGTCTTTCTTTGTATCTAGTTCCTGCCTTTCCTGAATCGTAGACAGCTCAAACTCATTCTGTCCAAAACAGAACTGATTTTCTTTCTCTCCAAACCCTTTTTCCAATTTCCCTGTTGTGGGCGAAGACTCTGTCATGTTCCTGGTCACCCTTCTTTAGCTGATCCCTCTCTCTGTCTCTCTCACCCCTCCCATCCAGTCAGCTGTGAGACCTTATCAGTTCTCCCGCCGTGATGTGTCTCCTGTATTTTCCCTGTTCCTCCATTGATGCCTCTTTCCCTGATCAGGCCCTCTTCACTTCATGCTTGGATGGTTGTCGTGGCTTCCTAATTGTTCCCTCTGACTCCCACTGCTTTCTTCTTTAATACACTTCTCTTAAAGCTTAGCGCTGACTTGTTAAAGAAACTCAGCAGTTCCCTAATGACTTGAGGATAAAGCTTCTTTGTTCTCTGGCTCTAGTCTGTCTTTTTTTTAGGGTGTTTGAACATTACTTTGCTTCATTCACTTACAGGTTATAAGCAGCCTGGCGTGCTTGCTGTTTCGCATATGTAGCAAATCAATTCCATCTCTGTGCCCTTGCGTAGGATGTCCTCCATGCCTGGAATGTGCCCTTTCCACAGCTCTGTCTTATGGGCCTCCCCATCCTTTCTTCAAAGGTCAGCTCAGATACTGCCTCCTGAGGGACAGGATCTGATCTCCATTTCCCCACCCATCCCCACACCTGGCTGCTAGTTCTTTCCACCCCCTAGACTGAACTGTGTATATTTTGTGTTTATTTCTCCCCCCCTCCCAATATAATGGAAGTCCCTCCAGGGCAGTGTGGTACTGTGGGAAGGTCACTTGGCTTAGAGGAAAGGACCTACTTTCTAATCCTTGTGTGACCTTATGCTAGGCCCTTAAGCTCTCTGACCCTTGGTTTTGTTATCTATAAATCAAGATGTTTGGGTGGAATGAAATGAATGACTAAAAATTCACTTATTAAGCACCTTAGCCATGTGGTGGGCCCTGTGCTAAGCACTGAGGATCCATACCTGGGTGAGCCAGGCAGCCCCTGCTCTCCAGAAGCTTCCATTTTAATAGAAGGCTGCATGCACATTTAGGGGGACAGGAGTTGGCAGGGCAGGTGATATGGCCGGGAAATAGACATTGGGCCTGGGAATGCTTATGAGAGAAGAGGAGAGCTCAGAGTCCTCGTGGCTGGCTCTCTCCAATGTCGTCAGAGATATTCTCTTCCGGCTGTGTCAGCAGGGCCCTTTGGCTCTTTTGTTTGTGTTTTTGTGTCCCTGGTGCCATAATAGGCACTTAATAAATGATGGTCGAATAAATGTGGAGAACTGACAGTTCCTGTGAGAACTGGTTCTTCAGAAACAGCTGCCTGCCCTGCTGCTTGTGGCCTCCTTGTGCATTCGCTGTCTGTGATGTCAATGGCATGAGTGGCCATGGAGTAAACACTCCCGCAGGCAGAAATGAAAGACTTCTGAAATGCAGACAAAGAGACTGTGCTGAAAGGTGATTGAGGGGCCACCAAGAACATTTGCATACTGCCGGAAAGTGGTTGGACTTTGAAGAGGAAGTGCCCAGTTGATCCATATCTGCAGGGAAACCTAACCAGATCTTCAGGTCATGGCATCCTAGAAGTAGAGCTGGAAACGACCTTGGAGGTCATCAAGATTGACCACCTGATTTTATAGGTGGGGAAACTGAGACTCCCCAAAGTTTTAGTGACTTTTACCATGTAACAGGATTTTACTGTGAAACATTTGTTTTTCACTCATCAAAATCATGTCATAACTTTGCTAGCACTTTAAAGTTCCCGAGTGTCTTCTTCATAGCAGCCTTGTTACCTAAGCATTGTGCCCATGTTATCCCTGTTTTACAGATGATGAAACTGAGCTAACAGAGATTAAGGGATTTACTCAAGGCCATCCAACTAATCAGACTCAGAGTGAGTTCCTTTTGGACTCATACAGTCTCTTTATACCATACTGCTTTCTGTTTTTACACACAGCTATGCTGAAAAAGAATATATACATACATATATTCGGACTCAATTTCTAGTTTTGTTTTTGTCACGGACTTTGGTTTACCCAAGTGAGTAATAATAAAAAAACAAAAAACAATACCTTTGGTCTCCTGCTAGTCTTCTTTTTTAAAAGTATAACATGATCAATTCTATGAGAAATTTTAAGTTCTAAATGAATCAGTCCATAATTAGTCTATCACTTTGTGTACCTAGAACAGACAGTCTGAAAAGGTACAAGTTGGCCCCAGAATTAAACCAAGGAAGGAGAGCAGGGAAGATTACCTTTAAGGAATTTAGAGTTCCTCTGATTCCCCCTTGATGTTCCTGGAAACAGGAACATAGTTCGTCTGAGCAGGATGCAATGTGTAAACAATGAGGAATTTTAAAGTGTTGCCATCTGGGAAATGTATGATAGGAAAAGAAGATAAATTTGTCATGTGTCAAGGGTGGGGAGTAAGAGATCAACAGCCCCAGTACTTCTCAGATGTTCTTGCCATTTCACGAGAAAGCAAGGAAGGCCCTCATGGAGATGGATCCATTTCATTGGTATAGAGAGTGTAGCTCCCTCTACCCATGCAGATCTTACCTGCTCCTCAACTTAGAGTTTTAGAAAGATGCCTGGGCACTTAGGGTTAAGTGACTTACCCACTGTCATTTAGCCAGTACATGTCAGGCAGTACTTGAACCCAGGTTTTCTTCATTTTTAAACCTTACTCTGTGTCTACTATACTCCTTCCTATACACTATTCATTTCAAAATTAAACACCTGTTATGAGTATGGCACTGTACTAAAATGGTTTTTGAAGAATCTGAAGAATTTTTCTGTATGTGTGCTATTTACTGGCTGCTTGGTGTTGTTGAGAGCTGTCTCCACCTCTTTTCTCCTCTAGAATTATGAGGTTCTCTTTCTTAACTAAATCCTTAACTTCAGATGGGGAGAATTAGATGTGAATTTGAATCTAAGTTTTAGGATGTACACATTTAGTTACTAATCTTTCCCATTTTTTATTTCAGTTGATCCTATTAAAATTTTAATGCCTTCCTTGTCTCCCACGATGGAAGAAGGAAACATTGTGAAATGGTTGAAAAAGGAAGGTAAGTGGGGTGTGTGTGTGTGTGTGTGTGTGTGTGTGTGTGTGTATTCATTTTGGATTTTTTTGGTTTATGATTAGTTTCAGTCATGGTTGGTGTAAATTAAACTGATGTAAATTGACTTACTTGGTTAGCTTATAAAAAACCAAGTAAAAATTTTCTCATCTTAATTTCACGTTTTTTTTTCTTGAATAGAAAAGTGATATCCTAAGAACGTGTTTCTGTTTTTAGACTTTGGCTTTAGATATTAGTTTCATGATATAAAAGACAACTCCCAGTCTCATTTTCAGGTTTTTTCCTTTTGATCCTTTCATTCACACTGTAACATCTATATTCAACAATAAGCATTTATTCTATGTAAGGCACTAGCTAGGTGTCTGAGATACGAAGATAGAAAGGAAAAACAATTCCTACTCAAGGAGTCGATGCTCTAAATTCGTGTTGACTGATTGACTACTGGGAGGGTACAAAGTATACCCAGATGATTTACTAGAATAATCAAAATCACTTCAAAAGGGAGAGAGAATTAACAGAAGAGGTCACTGAAAGCTCATCTGAGAGACAGCGCAGAAGCTGTGCTTGGTAGGAGGGGAGGTGGAAGGGCCTCTAGGCAGGAGAGAGCGCTGATACCAAAAGCTCTGAGATGGGAGAGGGAGCATTGTATATGGGAACAGAAAATTCAGAAAAGGGGGTCGCATAGGAGATGAGACTGGAAAGGTAGGGAGCAACCACTCTTGATTACTTTTAGTCCACATTTATTAAGCTCTTGTTATGTGTTGGGTACTGAGAATACAAAGATAAAAAAGCAATGGTCCTTGTCCTTAAGGAGGACTAGAAGATAGTGATGCTCTTAGAAGACAAAAGGAAGTTTAGAGGATGAAAAGGAAAAACCAGAGAAATCTGGGAGGACTTTTGTGACTTGATAGAGAGGGAAGTGAGCAGAAGCTGGATAACTGTTTGTACAATGACCATAATATTTACATAGCTACCACTTTTTTCTTTTAAAAAAGTTATATTAAATTTGAAAAAAAAATAGTTTCAGTTCTGATTTCTTTTCCCTTTTACCTGCCCCACCTGTATCCATTGAGAAGGCCACAAATATGAAACTCATTAAACATAGGAAGCCTGCAAAACATATTTCTATATTAGCCATGTTGCGAAAGGGAAAAAAAAAGCAAGCAAAATAAAGAAAGTGGAAGAAAATATGCTTCAATCTGCACTCAGTTCATCAGTTCTTTCTCTGGAGGTGGAGAGCAGTTTTCATCTTGAGTCCTTCAAAATTGTCTTGGATCATTGGCTTGATCAAAGTAACGAAGTTTCACAGTTGATCGTACTTAAAATGATGCTTGCTGTGTTCAGTGATCTTTTGGTTCTTCTCACTTCACTTTGCATTTGGTCATGTAAGTCTTTCTGGGTTTCTCTGAAACCATCCTGCTCCTCATCTCATAGAGCACAGTAGCATTCCATCACAGTCACATACCACAACTTATTCAGCCATTTTCTAATTGATGGTCATCCCCTCAATTTCCAATTCTTTGCCCCTACCAAAAGAGCTGCTATAAATATTTTCATGAGTATAAGTCCTTTTCCTTTTTCCTTAAATTTCTTTGGAATACGGACCTAGTAGTGGTATTGCTGGGTCAGAGGATATATGCAGTTTTGTAGCCCTTTGGGTATGGATCCAAATTGTTCTCTGAAATGGTTGGATCAGTTCACAACTCCACCAGCAGTTCATTAGTGTACCTGTTTTTCCAGCCTTTGTCATCTTTCTTTTCTATCATGTTAGCCAGTCTGATGGGTGTGAGGTTCAGGCCCTCATCATCCCTCTCCTAGACTATTGCATTGACTTCATATTTGGTCTCTTTCTGCTTCACTGCATCTTCCATTTGGTTTCCATCATCATTTTCCATAAGGGAATGTGTGACTGTTTTACTCCTCTGCTACATAAACTCCAGTGGCTGTATTTGGACTGGCTTTCTCTCTGTTCCATCTCCCACCTCCAAATCTTGATACGCTGGCTGTTCCTGGGTCAGAAATGTATTCCCTTTTCACTGTTTCACTAATATTGGCATCTAGGGGATGGCACAGTGCCTGGAGTCAGACATTTACTAGCTGGGTGACCCTGGGCAAGTCACTTAACTTCTTTTTGACTCAGTTTCTCCATCTATAAAATGGGAATGATAACAGCACCTACCTCCCAGGATTGTTGTGAGGAGCAAATAAGATAATATTGTAAGGCACTTAGCAGAATGCCTGGCACATAGGAAATGCTATGTAAATGTTAGTTATGATTACCATTATTTATTGTTATTACCATCTCACAGAGTCGCTACTAAACTCCTTCTTCATTAGCCCAAGCATTTCCTTTGGCATGAATACTTTCCTGATTCCCCCTTTTCCAGTTGACAGTGCCTTCCTTCCCTACTTTGTATCTATTTTGTATTTTTATGCATTTATTTATTTATTCTCTCTCTCTAAATGCACACATACACATTGCCTTCCATTTTAGAACAGAGGTTTTTAATTGGAGTGTGTGAGCTTGGTTTTTTCCCTAATATTTTGATAGCTGTATTTTGGTTTCCCATAGAATCCTAAGTATTTCATGTTATGCATTTTAAAACCTCGTTCTGAGGAGTACATTGGCTTCAGCAGATTGCCCAAGCATTCTGTGATACAAGCAATATTAAGGACCCTTGTTTTAGAATGTAAGTTTCTTCAGGGCAAGGATTGTTTTGTCTTCCGTCTTTTTTTAATCCCTGTACTTGGCAGTTTCTTGTCCTTAGCAGTTGCTTCATAAATCCTTGCTGGTTGCGTGTGCCCAGAGATCACCATTGGCATCATCATGAGGGCACTGGCACATGAGGCAGGTGACCTTCCCTTCCCATGTCTGCAATACTGCTGCTTGTCATCACATCTTCTGAAGAGCAGCTGTGGTAGCCCCCTCCTCGTGGGGCCTTCCACTGATCCAGGCCACCAACCTCAGACGACTGAGTAAGTGGCTTGGGGGCAATTAAGCTTTTGTGAGTTTGTGTCTAAGAACATTTCACCTTCATACATAATATACTCTCTCAGATTCTATTTCTAGGTTTCTCATTTTTGATGAATTATAGAGTTCTGGTTATTTTTGTATTAGATGTGCTGGCCTGGTATTATTCTCAGTTCTCAAGTCATGGTTCAATCACAGAACAGTCTTTTAGAGATAATTGTAAGAAGATTAATTTCACCAAATTTCCAGGCCTAATTAGATATTGCCAAAGAAGATTCCTTGGACTCACATTTGTCTCCTTGTAGCCCACTGTCACTTGACAAATTATTTATATATATGAGAACACGGAGAATATTAAAAGAGTTTGTAGATTTATCACCTCCTCAGGCAGTGTGGTATAATGGAAAAGCCAGTGGCTAGATTTGTTGTAGAGAAGAAATGGGGTCACCTCCTAACTCTGCTGCTCACTACTGTTTGTGTGCCCTTGGGCCATGTTTCCTCACCTGGGAAATGAAGCCCAGGTGATCTCCAAAACCTCTTCTAGTTCCAAATCCAGAATTCTGGTCCATTTTCACATATGAAGTGTGGTGTTTTGTCTTAATTTGGAGGTTTTACAGATATCTTAATCACCAATACTTTCTTCTGAATGTTGCCCTTAAAAAGTCTCATCTCTTTGTAAGGCAGTGCCACTTGGTAGAAGTTTTGCTGATAGTTTAAAGTAGTAGTATTCCCTTTTTCCTGTTGGAATCATGCTTTTAGGCCCACCTGAAGGATGCTATTAGTGTATGGATTTATTGTTTATACAGTTATTTTTTTTTGGAGGGGGGTTTCTTCCATAGGTGAGGAGTATATTTTCTTCATATATAAAATATATAATACTTCACATCAATACATATAAAACATGCATATAAATATATGCATGTTTATGCACACATGCATTCGTTTTAGTTCAAACGTTTGTTAAGTGCATATGATATGTATTGAAAGTATATGTTTCTGCGTGTTCAGGGTTTTATAAATGTAGTATGGTGGTGGTAGTATTCAGTCATTTTGTTGCAGTCTGAGAGGTTCAGAGACCCCTTGAAGACTGTAATACAGAACGAGATTGTCTGGAATGAATTCACAGACTCAAGCATTCTTTGAGTCAAGTTGGCAAAAATTTATTGTTACGCTTTTCAGCGGACAAGGATTCTTAAGGAACCTGTGAGAGACTGAGGATGGAGCTGGGGTTTATATGGAAAAGGGCATGGGAAAGGAATGCCAGGGACACTGATGAGATAATCTAAAGGTCTTTGGGAACTGTGGATGGGACAGTGTAGGGAGTATACCAGACATTGAGGGAGTTGTTAGATGCATGGACCTTGGGGATCTGGTAGGAGGAAGAGTCTTTGGGTCAGCCAGGGACAAAAATCCCTGGGCCAAGCGTCCCTCTCTCTGTCCTGATTAGAGAATGCTCTCTGACAAGAGAAAATTTTCTCACAGGACAGGAGCCTACTAAGAAATTGGGAGGCTTCCAGAGACACGAAGCTAGGGCTGGGGCCTGAGCAGCGCATCACTCTCTCACCCAGCTTTGTGTAACTGTACCAGAGTGTCTTGCTGGGGCCCACTCATGAGTAGTTGTTAGGCACAGTGTCCTTGGGCTGGAGGGAAACTGCCAGGGATAGTGTTTCTGAGGCTAGGGAGAAATTGGGGCCCAAGCACCCCATCAATTTCAGTTGTGTCTGACTCTTTGTGACCCCATTTGGGGTTTTCTTGGCAAAGGTACTGGAGTGGTTTGCCATTTCCTTATTTTAGAGATGAGGAAACTGAGGCAGACAGGGTGAAGTGACTTGCTCAGTGTCACATAGAGCAGAGTTTTCTGACTCCATATCTAGAGCTGTGTACCCTGCACCACCTGGCTGCCTCTAAAATAAAGTGATAGCTCTCTTTTCTTTTTAAAGACTAGGTATAAATCCTTGAGTAGCAGGTATTATAGTTGCAGTCCAATTTTGCTATATTTTGATCACTATACCGAGTC